TGCACTATATTGCAACTCCACTATATGGAATTCATCACTATATTGCACACCTGAAACTATTGTAACACTGTATGTTCACTATACTGGATTTTAAAATAAAGCTTTAAAAATTAAAAATAAAAAAAGAGCAGAAAAAGTATAACTGTATCCCTTCACAGATGTCATGTTTGTATATGTAGAACATCCTAAAGAATCTGCAGAATAACTAACAATCAGAATTAATATGTGAACTTGGCTAGGTTGTAGGGTGCAAGAGTAAAATTTAAAGTCAGTTATATGTCGTATAATAGTAGCAAACAATTGCCAGATAAAGTTAACGATCTTATCTATAATAGCAGTAAAATAACATTAAATAATTAGGAATATATTTAACCAAAAATATGCAAGACCAGTACACTGAAAACAACAAAACACTATTGTGATAAGTTAATGAAGCTTTACTTAAGTGTTGAGAGATACATCATGTTTATAAATTGAAAGAATCAATATTATTATGGTGATAATTCCTTCCAAATTGGTCTATAGATTCAATGAACCCTATAGATTCATTGAAATCCCATGAGACTTTTTTGTTTGGGTGGAAACTGAAAAATTAATTCTAAAATGGATGTATGGATGAAATGTGAAGGATCTAGATTAGCCCCAAAAAAAGTTTGAAGAAAAACCTGTAGAACATATACTACCTGACTTCAAGAAGTGAAGAGAAAAGAGTGACAGAAGTGGAGAGAATGAGGTATTGACAGAATAGATGAACCAACCAACCAATGAACCATAATAGCCCACACATATGTGTTCAATTGATTTTTGACAAAGTTGCCAAGAAAATTCATTATGAAGTATCAGGTCTTTTCAACAAATAGTGTAGGAACTAGATAAAGCTATGGATAAAACAACAACAACAACAACAAAAACCCAAAAAACCAACCATGATCTCCACTTCACATCATACACAGAAAGTAATTTAAGATGGGTCATAGACCAAAACAAAAGCTAAAACCATACAGCTTCTAGGAAAGAATATAAAATATCATCATGGCCTTGAGGTAAGTAAAGATTTCTTAGAAACGACACAGTGGGACACCTGGGTGGCTCAGTTGGTTAAGCATCCGACTTCAGCTCAGGTCATGATCTCAGTTCATAAGTTTGAGCCTCTCGTCGAGCTCTGTGCTGACAACACAAATCCAGAAGCCTGATTCAGATTCTGTGTCTCTCTTTCTCTTTCTCTGCCTCTCCCCTACTCACATTCTGTCTCTCTCTCAGAAGTAAATAAAAATTAAAAAAAAAAAAAGTAAGGACATAGAAAACTAAAACTAAAAATTGATATATTCTTCTGCATCAGAAGATAACCATTAAGAAAATGAAAAGGCGGGGTGCCTGGGTGGCTTAGTCGGTTAAAGCATCCGACTTTCGCTTAGGTCATGATCTCGCGGTTCGTGAGTTCGAGCCCCGCGTCGGGCTGTATGCTGGCTGCCAGCTCAGAGCCTGGAACCTGTTTCAGTCTGTAACTGCCTCTCTCTCTGACCCTCCCCTGCTCACGCTGTCTCCCTCTCTCTCTCCTAGAAATAAATAAATAACATTAAAAAAAAAAAGCTTTAAAAAAAAAAGAAATGAAAAGGCAAGCCATGGAATGGAAGAAAATATTTCAATACTTATAATGACAAAGGTCTTGTATGTGGAACATATAAAGAACTCCTACAAATTGATAAGAGAACAACTAACAACCCAGTAAAAATGGGCCAAAGATTTGAACAGACACTTAATGTAAAAAGCTAAAGGAATGACCAGTAAGCACATGAAGAATGTGCTCAACATCGTTGTTCATCAAGGAAATGTGAATTAAAACCACAGTGAGATATTATTTTACACCCCTTTGAGTGGCTACAAAGACTGACAACACTGAAGGTGAGGATGCAGAGCCACAGAAACTTCCATACTTTGTTGGTGGAGATGTAAAATGATACAACCACTTTGGAAAACAGTTTCTTATAAATTTACCCATTCCGACCCAACAGTTTCACTCCTGGTGAAGTGAAAATGTATGACTACAGAGACTTGAACATTAATATCGATGAGAGTTATATTCGTAATAGCTAAGAAACTTATAATGGACCAAATGTCCATGAACAGATGAATGGATAAACCAATCATGCTATATTTGTACAGTAGCATAATACTCTGTAATTAAGAAGAGTTTACTTTCATTATGTATCAATGTATTGACGACATGGTAGAATCTCAAAAATATGAAGGGAAAGAAGCCAGACATGAAAGAATACATAGTGTGTGATTTCTGTGTGACAGTCTAGGACAGGCAAGACTAGGGTGAAGAGAGACTGTCAGTGGTTACTGAGGGCCAGGGCGAGTGTACTCACTGCTGAGTGGCTCAAAGGAACTTTTTTTGGGTGAGTGGACTGCTTTATATCTTGATTGTGGTGGTGTTTGCATAGGGATATATATCTGAAAACTTTATACACTTAAATAGGTGCATTTTATGTACATTATGCCTTAATAAAGTTGATTTTTTAATATTTATTTTATTTTTGGGAGAAAGAGAGGGAGGGAAAATCCCAAGCAGGCTCTGTCAGCACAGAGCCCCAAGTGGGACCCAATCTCATGAACCATGAGATCATGACTTGAACCAAAATGAAGAGTTAGATGCTTAACTGACTGAGCCACCCAGGGACCCTCAAAGTTGATTTTTTTTTTTTTATTTCTAGGAGAGAGAGAGAGACAGCATGAGCAGGGGAGGGTCAGAGATAGAGGGAGTCACAGACTGAAACAGGCTCCAGGCTCTGAGCTGGCAGTCAGCACAGAGCCCGACGTGGGGCTAGAACCCACGAACTGCGAGATCATGACCTAAGCGAAAGTCGGATGCTCAACCGACTAAGCCACCCAGGCGCCCCTCAAAGTTGATATTTTTTAAATGTTTATTCATTTTTGAGATAGAGAAGGGGAGCATGAACAGAGTGGGGGAGGAGAAGAGAAAGGGGGACAGAGGATACAAAGCGGGCTCTGTGCTGACAGCAGTGAGCCTGATGCGGGCTCAAACTCACGAACTGTGAGATCATTACCTGAGCCAAAGTCGGGTGCTCAATCAACTGAGCCACATAGGCACCTGATTTTTTTAAAAAAAAGAATACTAAGACCAAATGTTGGTAAGGATGTACAGATGCCTGAAATTCCCATACATTGCCAGTGATGCTTTAAAATGGTACAACCACTATGGAGAGCTGTTTGGCAGTTTCTGATGAACTAACTATGGCCCAGAAACTCCACTCCTAGGCAGTTACTTAAGAGAAATGAAAACACAGTCCACACAAAGACTTGTAGGAGAATGTTCACAGTGGCTGTTGTGCCCACAATAGGAAACATCCAAAAATTTATCAACAGAAGAATAGATAAACTGATTGTCATTTGGGCACACAGTGGAACCATATTCTGCAATCAAAAATACTGAATTACTGATTTACAAAATCACATAGTTGAATTTCAAAACACATTGTGTTTTGAAATTTGAAATTTGAACTGGAAGAGGCTCAAGCCATAAGAATGCATAATGTATGATTCATTTATATGACGTTCAAGAACAGACAAAACTAATCTATGGTGATCGGAATCCAGAATTGGTTGCCTAAGAGGGTAGGGATTCACCAAGAGAGGCCCAAGATTACTCTCCGGATGGGAGACATGTGCTGTGTCTTGACTGGTGTTGCAAGAGTGTATATTTATCAACCTCACTGAATTGTATGCTCAAGATCTGTGCATTTTCCTCGGATGTGATTTTGACTTCAAACATGGACACATGCCCACAAACAATTTGATAGCGATCGAACTGTGTGTCAAACCATTTGATAGAAAAGTAGAGTAGTTTTGGTGTCTCTCATAAATTATTTGATGATGCTTGATTCCCATCAAGGGGCAAAAGAGACAGAAAGACACCACTGTTTGAGTTGTGTAATCGGCTAACAGGAGAAAGGTGATTTGGTTTGTATAACGACAGCGCATTTCACTCAAAAGTCAGCATGGTAGAGGATTAAGAGAACGGGCTTTGTAACCAAGCCGGGTTCAAACCCTGGTGCTGCCACTTAGTAACTGTGATCTTAAAGTGCCTTTCGCCTAACTTCCTCTGGGCCATTCCTTTCCTGTATGTAAAACAACCTAAGGTCGTAGGAATCAAATAGGTCACTACCTGCCAAGTGCTTAAAGTGCCTGCCATCTCGTAAGCCTTCATGTGTTATTGGTTTTTCTTAGTTTTCATTCTTCTTACTTATTTTTATTATTTTTACTTTTCCCTTCTCCATCTCCTTACTGTTATTAATTATAAAGGGCTGGCAGGTATATAAAGTAATGCATTTACTTCTTCACACTTAACACCTTCATTAACACTCTTCTGTCCACTCATAACTCTCAAAAAGTGATTTCCTCCCTCTACCTTGCTAGCTTCTGCTTCTCTTTCTTTCTTTTTTTTTTTTTTTAAGTTTGTTATTTTGAGAGAGAGAGAGAGTACATGAGCTGGGGAAGGGCAGAGAAAGAGGGAGAGTGAAATCTCAAGCAGGCTCTGCACTGCCAGCACAGAGCCTGATGTGGGACTCAGACCCATGAACCAGGAGATCATGGCCTGAGCCAAACGAAATCAAGGATGCTTGACTGACTGAGCCACCCAGGCACCCCTCTGCTTGTCTTTCAAGACCATTGGGCTTTCAACTCCTATAGGAAGCTTTCCCTGACTGCTAAGTCAGACATGTGTTTCTATCACCTTCCTTGATAAATAAATCAAGTTGTCTTTATAGTATCTGGTTTTATTTGCTGTTGCTTTTGCCAGATGTAGTATCTTTTTCCTCGTGCTTAGATTTCCGTGTCTGGTGCAGGTTAATGTTCAGTTTTTCCTTTAGCGAACACATGAATAACACAAAACTTTCCTCTTACATGTTTCCTGTTTGACAGCCAGAACATTAAAATACTGTCCATTTCGTTTTTTAAAAATCAGCTTTGACTTTCAGATTTTCTTTCTTGGAATTATCCTGCTTCCAATCCGTGTCTTGCTGATTGCATTAATTATATTACTGGCGTGGCCGTTTGCTGCCATTTCAACGGCATGCTGTCCTGAAAAGCTGGCCCATCCAATAACTGGTTGGAGAAGGTAAGAAATAATAATGTCTAAATGTTGGGTAAATCACGATAAAGAAGAGTTTCCCATAGTTTAGTCATCGATCAGTAGTTTTATCAATGTTGCCTATTCCCTATTAACCATTTATTTCTTTTTCTCAGATGAAACGGTTCTTAATTCAGCCTAGATAGAAAATTTTTCCCCAGCACCTTGTGATAATTTTCTGTTGAAGCTGTAATTTCCCAGTATTAAAATATTGGTTTCTGAGTCATGGCCAAAAAGTGAAAGATCCCTGATTCTGGGAGACCCAGCTAGCATCCCTGAAATCGTGACAGGTCAAATATATGTGTCTTTCCTCTGCTCTGCCTCCATCACGACATTTACTTGGTCCCTCTGTGATTACTGTGTACTTTCTGCAGTGGTGTAAGTAAGTGGATTGGGTATAGTGTATTTATTGATATTTTAGTGATTATTATTATTAACACTCTAATTCTCAATCAGTGTAGCCTACCTTTTTAAAACATTCGTACTGAGGCAAAATGGAATGGCTTCTTGAGGATTATCTAATTAGCAGGGTATTTGAGAATCGACTCATCACAAATGAACAAAGTCACTGGTACAAGTTCATTCCCTTTGGGCAGAGCCAACTTGTTGCCATAGGTATGTCCTGAAAACGAAGCCTTATCCTGTGGACTCCTTGGAAGAGAAAGCCGTAAGTGCATTGCAGGGCACTACTGAACTCTCTAAAATTGCCCATCTCTTTTTTTGTTGTTGTTGTACACCGCATAGGGTCTATTTCTTTCATTCAAATCTCAAATGAGAACATCCTCCCAAAATTCTGAAAATCACTGTTCTAGAAACTTTTAAAGAAATGTGCAATTTACTATTCAGTTCATGTTCTCATGAATAATATCAAGAGTCAGCCCATGACTGGTTTCAAGTGGAAGTGAATCCAAGACTGGCAGTGTCCCCAGAGAATAATATCACCTCAGTCCTTGCAAATCATAATCCTTTGCTTTATGATTCAAGGGTATGTGTCCTTAAAACATACTTTAAGAGAGATTTCTTTTCATGACTCACCAATTCCTTTCAATGATCTCTTTGGTTTCTGTTGTTAACGGCTTATGAAACCCTATCATGATGGAAGGAATAGTCTAAGATTCCAGGAAACAGATTAAATAAATGTTAGAAAAGAAAGTTCTGGGGCACCTGAGTGGCTTGGTCTGTTGAGCGCCAACTTCAGCTGAGGTCATGTTTCTCACGGTTTGTGAGTTCAAGACCCACATGGGGTTCTGTGCAGACCAATCGGAGCCTGGAGCCTGCTTCAGATCCTGTCTTTGTCTGTCCCTCTCTGCCCCTCCCCTGCTCATGCGCTCATGCCCTCTCTCTCTCTCTCTCTCTCAAAAATAAAATAAACATTAAAAAAAAGAAAGTTCTAGTTTTTCCAATTAAGCAAGTGTCTCTACTTCCTCTCAAAGAGGTTAACACTGAAATTAATTATGCAGCCCCAAACTTTCAGCCTTTGGAAAATAGTTTAAACAGAAGCTAAGAGCTCTGAATATGGAATATTTTAGAATGTGGTTGTCAGAATCTACACAACTGTAAATCAAAAATAAGTATGGAAATTCGGTAAAGGGGTGAGCTTTTTGTCCTTATGTAAATAGACATCTGAACTCTAAACAGCAAGAAGGAGAGAGACTTGCCCTCTGGAAAAGTCTCACTACTTGTGTCTCACTTCTCCTTACTTGGAATAAAAGAGAAACTTCCTCAGTGACTAGTTGCTTAATAGCCCCTCACTGTATTGTTACAAGACCATTGAGAGAATTAAACAGGAAGTCTGTTTTTTAAAGCTCTCATTAGACATCTTTTGGGAAAGACACATGTTTTGTTCTTCATGAAAAGCTGCACGCCTCTTCACATACTCAGATATCCATCCTGTGTTTGCATTTCTCGGAGTGTGTTTTTGTTTCCCAACTCAACTGAGCTTATCAGGGACAGGGACTGGATATTCTTTGTCCTGTGTGTCCATCGGAGGTCCTGGCATAGTTTGATGAACTGATTAGACTTTAATGACATAAATTCTCTTTAAAAAAACAAGCAGTTAGATTTCTGAAATTGTGCAAATGCATCATGTTCCAGGAAAGTGAGGTGGTGACTTTACCTTTTAAGGTTTTTGATGATGTCTAAGAGCTATAATGGTATGGGTAATAAGGCTTTAAAAAATTATTCCCCAAATAACTCTGAGGACTGATTCAGCATGAGAGTTCTAGAAGTGTCTGGGGAGATAGATAGCATCATCTTTCTGACACAAATGTACATTCCCAAGGTCATTCCTGGGAAGAACAGTACTCTTTTGGATTTCTCAATGGAGGATGTATGTTGAAAATTCATTTTTATCCGTTTCTACTCGTAGAATAATGGAGCCACTTATTAGCCATATGTCCTTGGGAAATTTTACTTCTCTGTGCCTCACTTGTCTGATCTGTGAAATGAGGATGCTAAAAAATAGTATCCGTTTCATAAAATTGGACTGAAGATTAAATAAATGAATATATGTAAAGTGTTTAGAATAGCGTGTGGCAGAAAGGACCCCATGTAACTGTTAGCTGTTTCTTCTTAGCTGATATTTTAAAAGGAGGTGCTCTGACACGTTTGGGGGTTTTGTATTCTGTTTTAGAGTGAAGCCCTGCTGTTAGCTGAGATTAGCAAAGCTGTGTCTTTTTTTTTTTTTTTAACTATTTATTTCCAAAGGAAAATGACTCAACCAGTTTTGAAGTTTCTGGGTCGTGCCATGTTCTTTGTGATGGGATTCATAGTTACCGTGAAAGGAAAGGTCGCGAGTACTGCGGAGGCACCAATTTTCGTTGCTGCCCCTCACTCGACATTCTTTGATGGAATCGCCTGTGTGGTAGCTGGGTTACCTTCCATGGTATCTCGAAACGAGAATGCGCACGTCCCTCTGATTGGCAGTAAGTACTTGTAAGACGATGCAGATATTTTCATGCTCGGGGTTCAAATTTGTAAGAAAATCATCTCCTTGCTTTGAAAAGGAACTATATTTTCAGAATGAATTTATGATAAAGTTTAGTGACTCCCCTACCCATACTCTTATAATGCTTATTAAATTCTTTATCGGGGTGCCATCACTTCCTCTTGTTCTTATATAGCTAGAAAGACCGGCTTTCAAGTACCAAATGTGCTTAATTTTTCTGGAGGGAGAAACCAAAGAATTGGTGAGAACACCAGCGCAACTGGCCCTAACATGCTATTTCACGAATTTCTCCTGCCGGTATTAGGCTCACAGACAGACCAAGTCTTTCCTCTTAACTCTGTTTTCTTATTATTGCCCCAGAATCTCCATGAGGGACCAAAGTGAAACTCTTTTTGAAAATTATGATGTAGAACATTAAGTACTTCCTGACGTATAAAATGATGCAGCCAGTGAAATGTTTATCCCATCAGAGGCCGCGGTCTCTCCCCAGGGTGTGGGTCTCTAAGTAACTGGTCGCGGTTGTCCCAAGGTTATTGCAGCAGCAAGTGGTGAGAGAGTGGGTGTGCGGGCTGCCTGAAGTCGCCTTGGCGTCTTGGACAAACAGCAATATCCACAGCTTTTTCATTCAGCTCAGAAAAAAAGCTCGTTCGCTCATTCTTCCTCAGCGTAGCCACAGTGCTTTGTATAATATGGCGTTTTCCTGTTTAGCAATGGGATTTTGGTAAATCGAGGTTTATTTGGCATGCCTGAGGAAGCCACCTACTTCGAAGACTGTTGTGCTGAAAATTTGAGTAAAATTAATAATTGCCCCTTATTCATATATACTGTGAATTCACATAATCAGTTTTCCAGATATTCCTAAAAGAAAACAAGATGAACTTGTAGTCCATATTCCTTTTTTAAATTTAAGTTTATTTATTTTTGAGAGAGAGAGAAAAGGCCCGTGTGCGTGCACGTTGGGGAGGGGCAGAGAGAAAGGAGATAAGAGAATCCCAAGCAGGCTCCAGTCTGTCAGCACAAAGCCCAGTGTGGGACTCGGACTCACAAACCACGAGATCATGACCTGAGCCAAAGTCAAGAGTCAGATGCCTAACCAGACTGAGCCACCCAGGAGCCCCTGGTACTCTATATTCTGAAGCTCTAACATAGATTGAAGAAGACATTTAGGGACAAAATTGCATTTGCTTCCTTTCATGTTTTTGCTGCTAACTTCTATCAATGAAATATTTTTAGGTATAAATAACCACTTCTCCTTTTGAACTGGAAGCCAAAGTCTTTTTTAAAAAATTTTTTTAATGTTTATTTATTTTTGAGAGGCAGAGCATGAGCATGAGCAGGGGCAGGGCAGAGAGAGATGGAGACACAGGCTCCAGGCTCCAAGCTATCAGCACAGAGCCTGATGCGAGACTCAAATCCACGAACCGAGGGGTCATGACCTGAGCTGAAGTCGGATGTTTCACTGAGTCCCCCAGGCACCCCTGGGAGCTAAATTCTAATAAACTTTAAATTGGAGTGTTTTTTTTTTAAAGTTCTCTTTGATTTGCTGTATTTTAATTTTACATAAAACTTGTTTCATAATGTATCCAGTATCATTGCTGTGGTAGCTTTAGCCAAAAAAACCCCCAAAACTCAGTTTTGACCTTCTGTTTGTTTTAAAGGACTTTTACGAGCTGTGCAGCCAGTGCTCGTGTCCCGTATAGACCCGGATTCTCGGAAAAACACGATAAATGAAATAATAAGGCGAGCAAGCTCAGGAGGGCAGTGGCCTCAGGTAAAACACAGGGGACGTTCCCTTAGATATATCATGAGCTTGTTTATTGTTCGTGTATTTGTAAATCATTTGGATCTACAGATGGCAGTGTCTGGGGACGCCTATGCTAGGCACCTTCAGCATAATAGAAGCAGAATAAATACGTGAGTATTAAGAAGTCCTCCTTCCCAGGAGATCCCCCATGGGGTTAAATGTACCTTCTTCCTTATTCTCCAGACTCTTTGAACCAATTTTTACTTCGTGTCATTAAAAAAAAAAGTCATTCTCTAAGTGGGAATTTATTTATTAGCTTAAAGACAGCTTATCAAAGCTCAATTATACTCAAAAGTATGGTAGGTTTGTTGGGGGAAAAAAAAGCGATTATGATCTTAATCTTATCCAAAGTATATTTAGGCAGGGCTTTTCAGATCAAGGCATATATAGGAATCACCTGTAGAACTTTTTCAAGCTCTACCATCTCACTACCTCCAACCCCTGGAATGCCTTCGGAAGGTAAGGGGTGGGGGGGACCACAGTTACTGGATAAAAGGAGCCTCCTGAGCCAAGCGAAATAGTCAGGCAGAGAAGGACAGTTACCATATGTTTACACGTATAGGAGGATTAGGAGGAACTTAACGAAGGACCATGGAGGAGAAGAAGGGGAAAAATAGTGGGGGAGAGGGAGGGAAGCAAACCATGAGAGACTCTTGAATGCCGAGAACAAACTGAGGGCAGATAGGGTAGGGGAGAGGGAGAGGGGGGAGATGGGCATGGAGGCGGGCACTTGTGGGGATGAGCACTGGGTGTTATATGGAAACCAACTTGACAATAAACTATTTAAAGTAAAAATTAAAAAATAAAAAAAACACCAAAAAAACCAAAAAGGAGCCTCCTGGGTAATTCTGAGAAGTATCGCTCTACGTTGGCCCGGGTGACCTCTAGCGGGACTAATCCTTCAGGGCGCCGGCCCCCCCATGATGCGTGTAGATGTGAAAATACCAAGAGGAGTAGGACCCACCACGAGGTCCCAGAAACCTAGGCATGTGATGAATGATTTAAAAAGTGACCAGAAAGAAATGGCACTTGGAATAAGGGTTTGATTTTTCTCTTTGGATCCAAGGACCATATCTAGGACTGGTGGGCAGAAGTTAACAAATAGGTGAGAATTCAGCTTATTTCGTCTCAAGGAACTTTTTGTCCAGCGGCAGAATGATCTGATCTGAAATCCTTTTCTAGAACTTTCAAACGCTGGCTAAGCCACCACTTGGAGTGGAGAGGGGTGGATATTGTAGAAAGAATTCAAGCATTGGAAAGGCTTTCAATGCCCCTTCCAGATCTGAGATTCTATGATTTACTCTATATCCGTTCATTGTTAATAGAGCAGCTATAGAATTTCCGTTGAGTGAACCATATTTGATAGTGTATCCGGTTGTGATAGGAAACCTTTTTTTTTAATTGGGGAATGAAATTGCACACATTTAAAATTTTTATTTTATAAATAGCCTGTCATTATGGCACGTTAGCCTGATAATGTTTTCCTGTTCTAATTATTTAAAAAATACAAATGCTAACTGCTGGGGGTGCAGGAATTTTCTTTTTGGTTATTTTACGTACTTGGCAATTCACTCATTGCCCAATCCTGAAAGCTTCAGCAAATCCAGCTTATTCCGTCAATAAGCTACGGTTAGTCAACTAACTGCACTGTGTCTTTTACTTGAAGCACGAAAAGGCTTATGTTAAAAGCTAAAAACACTTTCTCAGAAAAGCTACTAAACTGTAAGCCATATGTCTATTAATTTAAGTGAGTAGAAAGCATATTGTAAGTATTTCCTCCTTTTTGCCTCCTCTGTATATCCCTAAACTATATGCTGTAGGAGGGAATATCATTTGACAGGGAAAACAGAAACAAGGAAGTAAGAATGATTTGGTTAAGGTTGTACAGCAGTAGAGGAAAGAATTTAATGTGCTCTCTGAGCGTGTCGTAGGGTCTACAGCTTGTTTTAAGGTTATCTCTCAGATCATTAGCATCATTATTAAGAAACATTTACTAAGTCTATTTTCTCTTCAAAGCTTTAATCCATTTTCTAATTACCTTACTGCTGAGAGAACAGTTCTTTCAGAGGAAAATTGAATAATCTGATTCTAGCTTTCAGTAGAATCAAGTATTAGCCTTTTATTTCACTTTTTTCTTCTATGAATTGGCAGCTGTTTGTGAAATCATACAGTTTGAGTAAAGAGGTAACCTATTAATTAGACTGAAATATTAAAACTACGTATTCCTTTTCTCCCAAGATACTAGTTTTCCCAGAAGGTACTTGTACTAATCGTTCCTGTTTGATTACTTTTAAACCAGGTGAGATCAATTAAATTATATTCTATAACAAACTATGGGAGATTTCTCAAATGATTTGATACTAATACAGAAAACAACCTGTTCGTTTGCTCTGGGCTTTTCTTTTCCGATAAAAAGTTTTTGACATCGTGATTCTGCAAAACCCATTTACTTCCTCTTTTGGTATCACAACCCCTTCTTCCTTGGTTAGTTGTGTGTGGGTGTGTGTGAATGCACAGTTACACACACGCACGCACACACGCACGCACAGAAACCTCTGGCAGATATTTCATTTCCTTCAAGGATACCCTCCCAGACACCCCCAGGTCCTGTGTTATCTGATGGAAAACTAGTGATCATTATAATGCCCTCAGATGCCTTCTACACTTCACCCTTTTTAAAAATATTATGAAGTCATAACTTTCATAGCCATGTATAATTTCATAGTAACTGATAATAACTTTAACACGTGTTTGTATCGCCCGCTGGGATGCTCAGAGCCCAAGTTGGAGCTCACTTCTAGCAAGTAGGGCTCATTCTTGCTGCAGGTATTTGCTTTGATTTAGATTTTCTTCTCCCTATTTTCTCTTTGTCTTGGCTTTGCCATTTTTTCTTATTTTTTAAATCCTGTTGCATAATAAGTATTTGGAAAATGAAAACACGTGGGGATGTAAATAAATCTTTTCAGTGATTTGGGCATAACATTTAACGCCTTGGTTTCCTAATTCTGAATTTTAAAACTCTCTCATTTTGGCAAAGTGCTGGGGACTGTACCAACATTTCTCAGTTTGCGTGTATTTTTAAAACAGTAAAGTATATGTATGTCATTTATTATTAATTCTCTTTATGGCAAACCTCGTGTCCTATGTGGAAGGTGTTATAATATTTCAATGTGGTTTTAGGGGCCTTCATTCCAGGGGTTCCGGTGCAGCCAATCCTCCTCAGATACCCCAACAAGCTGGTAAGCATCGTATTTGACCACGGGAAAATAAATCTCAGACATTCTGAATGGCACAGATCCTCTGGGATCCCTTTTAGAATTTGAATAAAGCTCTGAGTAGACAGAGGTTGGAAGCGCATGGGTAGACCCCATTCCCGGCACCACATTTCGTTTCTAGAAGTTTGCCAAGAGAGGCATGTCTTTGTGGACACCACTATCCCTCGATGTCTCTGCTGTTCCTAAGCTCCGGGAAGGTGTTTCCTCAGCTTCTCCTCCGCTGCCACTGAAACGGTCCAGTAAAGTCTGACTCAGGGTCTTACTGACCTGGGTAGCAGGAAACCTGCGTAGGTTTGCAATTTGCTCTGAGCCTACAAGGAGTCTTTACCTGATTCAGTTACGAGAGGGATGGCTGGTGTCGCAGGACAGATATGGGGCTGGCTTGGGGTTTCATTACTGGCTCAGTACTTACTAGCTCTGGGACTATTGACGAGTAATGTTAGTAGGAAGATACATGAAAACAATCTGTCGCCCTATAGAAAGTGCACGGTTGGCTCAGGAACAGCCCCTTCCGCTCCAGCTAAGCACACTGCTGGCTTGTGGATATTGATTGTGCCACTGTTTTCCTAAGAAAGGGTTTTTGGAATTGTTTTGGCGGCGAAAGGAACTTTCTCTACAGAGACTTTCCATAAGCAGGCAGGCTGTAATGATTAATTATCTATGTTACTTAAGACCAAGAGTTCGCCATCAAGTCAGCTTTCTTTTAGTGGCTGCCTTCTCAACTTTGGACATCCCCTGGTTAAAAAAATTAACATCTATCAAAATTTACTTATTTTACTTCTGTCTGTTTGGCATTTATGCAAATCCTTTCACTAGGTACTGCTTGAATCTTTTCTCCCAATACCTACCCCTCCACCCCTTTTTTTGAGAACTGATATATTCTGGGTTTTATTTATAAGCAAATTAATTATCCAGATATGTTCCCATTAGGAGAAAAATAGCGAAGCCTGCGCAGAATTCTCTTAAGAGTTAAGAGCAACTTAATTCCATGAAAAGATAGGTGGCTACATATGGAAAACGGATTTTTGCCATGTAGATATATAATCCAAGAATTCACAGAGCAACTCGCTGCCATTTGATAGGCTTGTTTTACTTTTTAACACACTGCTTTTCATTCAGAAGGGAAGTATATGAATAGCAAAATATGAAAATAAGATTTTGATTTTATTTGGCATTTCTTTTCCTCCGAACTAACAGTCTAAACACCTTTGTTATTGTAGGATACTGTGACTTGGACGTGGCAGGGATATACATTGTAAGTCGCTTCACTATATTATTGGTTTCTATAAATTTTGTTCTGGGAAGAAAAAGAAAAATTTATTCCTTTTTTTTTTTTTTAAATAAGCCTTGTTTTGATCCATTCGTCCATTGATGGACACTTCGGCTCTTTCCATGTTTTGGCTATTGTTGAGAGTGCTGCTATGAACATTGGGGTCCATGTGCCCCTATGCATCAGCACTCCTGTATCCCTTGGGGAATTTCCTAGCAGTGCTATTGGTGGGTCATAGAAGATGTGGTTTATCTATACAATGGAATACTACATGGCAATGAGAAAGAATGAAATCTGGCCACGTGTAACAACATGGATGGAACTTGAGGGTGTTATGCTGAGCGAAATAAGTCAGGCAGAGGACAGTTACCATATGTTTGCACATGTAGGAGGATTAGGAGGAACTTAGCGGAGGACCATGGGGGAGGAAAAAGGGAAAAATAGTTGGGGAGAGGGAGGGAGGCAAACCATGAGAGACTCTTGAGTGCTGAGAACAAACTGAGGGTAGATGGGGGGGGAGGGGAAGGGGGTGATGGGCATGGAGGAGGGCACTTGTGGGGATGAGCACTGGGTGTTATATGGAAACCAACTTGACAATAAACTATTTTAAAAAATAAATAAATAAGCCTTGTTTTTGTAAAAGTAAAGATTTCTAATCAGATCCTAATATCTTTTAAAGAAGTCTGTGTAGAGAGCATCACTCTTGGTTGTTAGCTCCCAGAACCTGCCGTGTGCGGAAGTCTAGCTACCGGCCGTGTTTTTACAGGTCTCACACGTGTAGCTCCCGATTCTTTTTTTTTTTTTTTTTTTAGTGTCTTTTATTTCTGAGAGAGACAGCATGAGCAAGGGAAGGTCAGAGAAAGAGGGAGATACAGAATCTGAAGCAGGCTCCAGGCTCTGAGCTAGCTGTCAGCACAGAGCCCAACGTGGGACTCAAACCCGTGAACTGTGGGATCATGACCTGAGCCAAAGTGAGACGCTCAACCGACTGAGCCACCCAGGCACCCCGTGTAGCTCCTGATTCTTAAGAAACAGCTCAGTGACCCCGTTTGGACCCTCCTTACCTTTAATCTCGTAGTTTTATTCCCACTGCAGGTTTCGCATATTATCTGGTGTCTCCATTGTTGTTTTACTCCGTCCATTTAAGCAGCCCGGAGTCATTGCATCATTTGGCCTAAAATAGCTGTGATGTGTCTGATCTGAGCTGAGAAAATAGCTAAGCTTTCAGTTCCGTTCTTGGATTTTAAAAGCATAAGGATCAGCAGTTTCTATAAACATTTCAGACAGGAGAGGAATACAGCTCCCCATTAAGCAAGCTGCATTGAGACAGGCCTTTAAAAAGAACAGAGCCTGTAGAATCGTGCTTTGTCTCAAGAGCTTTATGTGGAGCTCCCCCCCCGCAGATAAGTCTGAGCCGGTGTGTATTTGGTGAAAGCCACGTAAAATTCCTGGATGTGAGGACCTTGCCTGGGACTTCCCCAGCAATGCCTTTTGATACTGATACATAGAGAGTTTACATAACGTCGTTGATGCACAACCACTTGGACATATTTCAAAGGGAATCCTCATTGGCCTTCAAGTAGCTTGTGACTTCCTTGTCTACCTTTTAGATAATCCAAAACGATGTATGAAAGCCAGATATTTTTTTGTGCTGCATACCAATTTTCTCCATTTTGTGTGAATTGCATCAAAATAATAAATTTAAATCTGAATTGGTAACTGATGGGCCATTTGCATGTGTTAGCGTTTATTGACAGTTTGAAACATGGATGTTTCCATTACGCTCCAGCCCTTACTGGTTGAGGTTAAGTAAACGGCTCTCAAAATAAAGACCATAAATTGTAAAGGACATCTAGACATCATGTGATCTTTAACTCTTCAGGAGATCGGCTTATTTATTTGGCTAGGATACGTGTTTTGCATCACTACTGATCTTAAGTTCCTGGGTTTCGGCTTTTTATACGAGAGCAAGTGAGAAGAAACAAACAGTATGAGCGCATTTTAGAAAAAGGAGTGCCCACAAACTGAATGTAGCGCATCTTTATAGTTCCTGAGGTGTGCATGCTTGGGGCCCTTACAATTTAAGTACCTTGCAGAGACAGTGATTTCAGTCAGTCAGTATGACTTTTTCAAACTTTCTCAGCAGTCCAGGTAGGCGTGAAGGTCAAGTAGGAGAAGGCCTTCTTGGACGGGGGATCTGGATAGGAAGTGGAGTGGTCTGGTGAATCCAGCCTTCTGACCTGGGAAGTGTGTGACAAAGGGAAAAAGAGAATTAGGAGAGACAATTCAGAAAAGAGAGAAAAACACTTTTTCAAGAGTTAAAGATTCCTTAGGAGTGATAAACACAAAATCTTTAAAAGGCACAGCTTTGTTTTGTCCAAATGCCGCATTGTGCTTGGCCCGTAGTAACTCTCATTTCCGCCCGTATCTTCCCATGGGCTTCCTGGTGTATTTAGCACCAAATCTGTTACTCTTAAGTCCGCTTTCTCCGTTGCCCTTGCTCCAAGGGCTTAGTCTAGACTCAGATTCTAAGGAAGAGACTCTGTACCAAGGCACACAGCCTAAGGGAGAGGGTTAATAAACTTGGGGAATACACTTAGGGAAGGCGCAGCTATAGAAAAGCTGTTTTGTGTGGGTCCGAGAAGTGTTGTCTGGTTTGTGTGTAGTGTGGACAACACAGGTTCGATGAGATCTTATGCCTGGTTTGTTTCGTTTTCCTTCCTTCCTTCCCTCCCTGCTTCTTTCCTTCCTTCCTTCCTTCCTTCCTTCCTTCCTTCCTTCCTTCCTTCCTTCCTTCCTTCCTTCCTCCCTCCCTCCCTCCCTTCCTTCCTTCCTTCCTTCCTTCCTTCCTTCCTTCCAGCATTCAGAATTTTCAGAACAGATTTATCTATTCAAATCATTAAATTCCAAAGCTCAATTTAAGTAACTCAGGAACAGTTTGCTTTATAGTGAATAATGTGGATTGATTTTGTTTGCTTGGGGTTGATAGTAAAAGATTTTTTTCCTCTCAGATGCAAAGTTTGACAACCAATACTTAACATCTTATAATTATATATGGGATTGGTACATCTACTTCTTAAATTCCTTCTTTTTTAACTAAATTCCTTGTTTAAATGTCTAAATTTCTTGTCATAAGTAAGCCCCTTTAAATATTTTTATAGATAAATCATATTTTAGTTTCTTAATAACATAAAAAAGTTGATTTCTTCCTTCCATGTAGCATAATCCACTCTGCCAGATATCTGGGTCATCTGTCTAAATGAGGCGATGTAAAAATCCCATAGAAATCCCATCCAGAGACTCTAAATATGTACATAATGGTGTACATAGAAACAACTATTTCAGAAATTATCTTTGAGAGGGATGGTTATAACCACTTTAAAGAAAGCCTTTGTCCTCTATCCGGCTTTACAATGAAATCTGAAACATTTCAGAAAATTTCTCCTCAACTAAAACATTGATTATTAATTGGGGCAATTTGATAATAAATAAAATTCTGCTCTTAGGGAAAGGCCTGCTGATTTTATTTAAATATCAGATAAGAGTTTAGAAATGTAATGTTTTACTCAGTTTTCCTGTAAACACATTTGTATGTACCTTAAAATGTGGCCTCGGCAGTTTCTCTAGGCACGTAGGCCTACGAGTCTGAGTTGTCAAGGAGACTTCAGATTTGGGGTTTAGTCCTCCGAGGTGCAGCCCTGACTCACAAGTACATATCTGGTATTGTATTTGGTGATTTAACTTTGGAATATCAAGAATACTTGGCTTAAGCAGTGTTAACAGCTGCAGTGTGGCACTTAAAAACGCAGACTGTATATGCCATGCTGTGTATAAAGAAAGGGTCGTTAAGTAATAGTAGATGACACATATATTACCATATAAATATGGCCTGTTCTTTTTTCTCCTCAGCATTCAGCTCTGTATGCTCACGTTCTGCCAGCTCTTCACAAAGGTGGAAGTTGAGGTAAGTCATTCAAAAATGTAGCCTTGGCACTGGAGATTTGGCCTTTCCTTTTTTCACTCTGCACTTCTAGTCTGGAGAGCCCAGCTGTACAAAGGTTGGAAGTTAAATCCGCCATCTTTAGAATAAGCCCTGGTCTTTTACAAACTGTCCACCTGGCTGTCAGATCCAGCCCTCAGAATCCTATCAGGAAGTACCTCTGACTTCTGGGAACTTCCATAGGCAGCCACCCTGGCTGACCAGATCTGCATAACTGGTTTCTATCTTATTCCTTTCAATGCTGACCCCTGCCCTTGAATGGTATGGATGCTTCACATCCTGACAAAAGGAGCTACAGTAGCCAGTGTACAAGGAGTATAGGAGCCCCATGGCTCCTTGAAGAGTACATGCTGTCAGGGCGGAGGGGGGCTCCCTGGGCTCTGGGGGGAGGCGCAGATGTCAGAAGCCCTCCCTTTTGGAATCACTCTGCACCTGAAAGGCCTGAGGAAATCCTGTCTGGGCGGCAGCTCACGCCAGCATTCACAAGGCTGTCTTTTTTTTATTGAGTTGCAGAGACAGGCAGGGAGTATGGAAGCAAATAGATGGTTCTGAAAATCCTGACCAGATTTTTAAGACCCTGAACGATGACTCCTAGACTCTAGCAGTGACATGGGATGGACTCGTAAATGCAGAATCAGTAAAGTTGGCTTGAGCGATACCCTCAGGGAGCCTCTGAGGAGAGAGGGTCAGAATAGCCAGTCAGGCCCTTGCCTTCATTTCCAGTTGCATCCGTGGAGTGTGTGATGAGAACTCTAAATTTGCATATGTTAATTCGGAGTCCTGAGTGGGGGCCCTTGCTCCCAAGTTACAGGACATGGAACTTAAGTCACAAGAATACTGTTTTACTTTGTTGCATAGCTTAGTCATTTAGCCACATAGCGGTTGTCAGAAGTAACAAAGGACGTAGAGGGCAAACTATATTTCAAAATGAGTTTCACTTCGGTGAAATTTTTCTTGAGACTCACAAGTTGTCTGCTTACCAGGAAAAGATCTGTTTATTAATTATATGCCATATCTCCCCACATTTAAAAGCTACTCAGGACCTCTCACAATGGCTGAAAAACACCAGTTCTTAGAATATACTTAGGTGTTTTTAGAGAAAAACACTAATTTGTACTCTAATGAGTTTAAGAAGTACCAGTGCAAACAAAATGAATCAGATTACTTTTTCCCCAGAACTGTCAGTGCCTTTGAGATGGTTGGACCACAGTCTCCCTTTTTATCTGGATACCTCCCAGAAGCAGTGTTCCATAGAATATATTTTGGGAAGCCCTCTCAGGAAGAAATATTATATTATTTCTAAGTACTTCAAGCACACTCTTCCTTCTTTAATAGCTGTCCAGATAGCCTAGCCCTGTTTGCTTTCTCGAAAGGAAGGAAGGAAGGAAGAAAGGAAGTAAGGGAGGGAGGGAGGGAGGGAGGAAGGGAGGAAGAGAAAGAAAGAAAGAAAGAAAGAAAGAAAGAAAGAAAGAAAGAAAGAAAGAAAGAGAGAGAGAAAGAAAGAAAGAGAACAAGCTTATACTTAAAACAGCCACTCTGTCTTCTCTGCAAATTTGGAAGATATTGTTTATATAATATATATGCTGCCCCTTCCTCTAAATTTACCCTTCCCCACCTAAAACAAGATCTAGCAACAGATGTGGAAATGTACCTAAAATGTCTAGTACATGTGTCAGTGGCCAAACTATTACAACAGAGGTATGCAAAGTCCTCATTTTTTTGCCCTGACCATTATTACCACATTTCCTTTCTGTGTCGTGGCCTTTCTTTCCTTCCTTTCCTTTCCTTCTCTTCTCTTTTCTTTTCTTTTCTTTTCTCTTTTCTTCTCTTTTCTTTTTTTTCTTTCTCTCTCTCTCTCTCTCCCTTCCTTCCTTCCTCTCTTTCCTTCTTTCTTTTTCTTTCCTTTCTTCCTTTCTTTTCTTTCTTTCCTTCTTTCCTCCTTTCCTTTCATCCTTCCTTCCTTTCTCTGTCTCTTTCTCTTTCTCCCTTCTTCCCTCCCTCCCCCCTTTCTCCCCTCCTTCCTTCTTTTTCATTACAGTATTTGCATTCTCCAGCTAGTTCTTAGACCTGTTTGAATAATATTTCCTGGCAAAGAAAGAATATCCTTTGCTAACTTTACAAACAAAATGGCTACCACCCAGTGTGGAATAGCTGAATGGGTAAGATTCAATGTATTCGAATTGTGATGGAGGGCAAGGGGATGGGAATCTGTGGCCTTCACATTCAGTCTTATATCTTCTTTATATTTAGTTTAGATGTATGTTACCACCTTTCACCCAAGGCACTCCTCACCACCTTATGACTTGTGAATATTGTAATCCCCCTCCCCCAGTTGGGCACAACTGAAAACTGTCTCCCAGCCCGTGTGCTGCTCTGTGTGCCCACACCCTGGCTCAGGGCCCTCAAGAGCTGAGCACTGCGTCCGATACTCTAGCTTCACCTCATCTGGGGCGCCCGGCTTGAGCGGCTCTGTTAGGAGGCTCGGGGTGTTCAGTTGCACCAACTACAGCTGTCTCGGCTGTTCAAAAGCACCCTCTCCCAACCTCCGTGTTTGTTGAGATGAGACTGATGGAAATCCTAGTTATTACTTTTTGCATATGTTTTTACAACTTTAGAATGTCTAGTAACCAGGTGAGCCTAACTGAAGATGTGCTATTCAAGAATATGGTCTTAAGTTTTGCGGTTTTTATTTTTATTTCTTTTTTTAAATGTTGATTTATTTTTGAGAGAGGAGAGAGAGAAAACAAGTGCAGAAGGGGCAGAGAGAGGAGAGGACAGAGGGTACAAAGCAGGCTTTGCGACAGCAGTGAGCCTGATGCGGGGCTCGAACTCATGAGCTGTGAGATCATGACCCGAACTGAAGTCAGAAGCTTAACCAACTGAGCCACCCAGGCGCCCTAAGTTTTTCGGTTTTTAAAATGAACTTTGAGCGGGTCATTTGGTGTCCTTTTAGTCACTGCGCTGGTGAGTCACAGAACATCTCTGGATGCTGAAGGCTGTACTCTTTCCTCTTACAAGTCACTCCTCACTGACGGTGATTTTCCAACTCTGTAGTTACCAAAACCTTCAGATAGCTAAAATCTAGGGAGTGTAAAGTCTCCTCTCCCCACTCCCTCTCTGTTTCCTCAACAGAGACCGGGTTTTGAAAAGACCATCATGGGGTGCCTGGGTGGCTCAGTCGGTTGGGTGTCCCACTTTGGCTCAGGTCATGATCTCACGGTTCGTGGGTTCAAGCCCTGTGTGTCGGGCTCTGTGATGACAGCTCAGAACCTGGAGCCTGCTTCGGATTCTGTGTCTCTCTCTTTCTCTGACCCTCCCCTGCTCATGCTGCCAATCTCTCTCTCTCTCAGATAAATGAATATTTTAGAAATATTTAGAAGAAAAGACCATCATTTCCTTGACTCTTGAATTGTAAAACTACAGTCAGGTCCAAACCTCACGCACTCTGTAATTGGCCTTCCAGCATCCTTGAACAATGATGCCATGTGTGTCTGCAGAAGGTCCTCCTGAAAGTTACTCTCTGGGTCATAGTGACAGAGGGGATGTGCCTTTGAGTGGTTCCTTTCATCAGCCAGCTACTTCACAAGTGTGCCTTTATAAGCTTCTGGCTTAGGGGCATAGGGAAGAAGATAGCTACTAGGGAACATCCCCAAAGGTGACAGAAATCAACAGCCTGCTAGTGTATCCCACAAGAGAGAGTCCATGCAAAGCCAGCCTCTAAGGTGCTCTGCGGACAAGAGCTGGTTTACGAATGGACACGGGCCATTCACAGTAACCATCCATCTGTTTCTGCCTTCGCCTGTGACATCCATCTCCACTTATATTCACAGCTACCTATTATCATACAGATACAGAGAAATGGCTTATAGGCATACGGACGTATTTTGTTTTAGTAAAATTCTTTTGCAAAGCTTAAAGCAAGCTTCTACTGGCTAGCATTGGACTTATAGCACTTTATTGTGGGCAGTCCATTGCCATAATAGAAAAGGATTGTTTTTTATTAAAAAAACAATTCTGATTTTGGAAAGGATTGTAATAATGAGTGTTATGACCAACCCTGGTAGATAGATACAAATTTTTAAATCTCCAGAGAGTATTACTTCGGGAAGGTTCCACTATGTTTATATAGTTTAGTTAATTATCCAAACACACTCCAATTATTTGTAGTTTTGAATCTAAAATGAACAGGCATTTTAGAAAACTCCTATCACACAAATACACACACACACACACACACACACACACACACACACACACCAAACCTATATATGTGTTTGTTTTAACAAAGCTAATTTCTTCTGGAACTTGGTAGAATTCTGAAATTTCTAAGTAGTAGTAGAGAAGTAGAATGTTGTACAGGACACCTGGGTGGCTCAGTCAGTTAAGCGTCCAACTTTGGCTCAGATCATGATCTCACAGTTTGTGACTTAGAGCCCCGTGTCTGGCCCTGTGCTGACAGCTCAGAGCCTGCGGCCTGCTTCAGATTCTGTGTCTCCCTCTCTCTCTCCTCCTCCCCTGCTTACACACTGCCTCTCTCTCTCTCTCTCAATCTCTCTCAAAAGTAAATAAACATTATTTAAAAAAAGAAAAGAAAAGAAATGGAATGTTATATAAAGAGGATTAGCTGGGGTTTTAGTCCAGTTCTGCTGCTACCAGCCTGTATGTGCTCAAGTGAATGACTTAAGCCTCTCCTAGCCTGTGTTCTCAGTGGTAAAATGGCGATAATAGCCTCTTTTATGGATAATAACCACACCCTCTTTTACGGGGTGGTTAGCATTTAATAAGGTTACTTATGTACTACCAAGTGGTGGGTGTTCAAGAAGCATTCATTTGTGTTTCCCTTATCATCTAAATGTTTGTTCTTCAGGGAAGAAAGCAGCAAATGTTAGTGCATAAATACCTTCCTTGATTCGCATTTGCCCTTTTTGAAGACTTAAAAGAAAAATCATGAGAAGAGCCAGAACCCCACGTTTGTTGAGAGTGACTCATTAAAAAAATCCTTTTCTGTTACTTGGAAAAAGAAAAGACTGATTGTAGTATCATCATTCATCAGTCTTTCTCTTTTTCACGATCATCCATTCAGTAGAAAGGAATGTGCCCCACGTGGTCAGGAAACAATGAATAAGGCAGATTTCCTGGGCCCGAGTGTCCATGTAAAGGGTTGGCTCTGGATATCAGATCACCTTCAAATTAGGCTGAAGAGTTCTGACTTTATCTTGCGTGCAGCCTCAGGCCCCAGAGGACGTCAGGCACTCTGGGACCAGAAGGGCAAACGAGGTGTTAGTATGGGGAAAATGTCGGTTTGCCTCCCCTTAGATGGGGCAGGGTGGTGCCATTCCTGCGGGGGTGGAACAGAGCACATTGATTGAGGCCCGGAGCCAGCACCAGGAGCAATGGGGAAGGACTGGGGAAGCTCACGTGGGCTGGTATGGGGGAGACAGCCTTCCCTCTCCCCAGTGAGGCCCCATAGCCGGATCTGTGAGATAATCTCACGGAGAGCAGATTCATAGGTGAAGGGTCACACAAATTTATTAAGTTTTAATATGTGTGCAAGGCATCATGGGGAATAAAAAGTGGATACCCAAAAAAGTGGTGAGGAAGGGGAGTGAGAGGTAGGCCATGCAGGGGAGAGTCAGTGATTTCTAGGAAAGACAGGTGGGCCCTGGGAAGCATAGGCCAGGATCTATGATAGCGTGTGATCAAGTTTGTCTCTGTGTGATGTTGAATTCCAGTCGTGCCTCCCTTGGTAAGAATCCATCTTCCTGTTGAGTGAAAGTCCCCAGGAGGAGGGACTTTATGACCGATGAGGGACAACTGAGTTCCTTTTGCAGGAGCTGACTTTAGGGAGGTAAGGGGAGTTCAAGGAAAACCTCTCCCTACATTTGCTATTTTTCAAGTGTCTTCAGCTCCAAATAATTAATATGCCAAAGTGGTGTATTTTGGGGTTGCATGTCCTTAACGCTTTCACTGTCTTCTTTCTAAAGTTGAGCGTGAAGTACTGTTGGGACGAAAAGTAGAGCCGTAACCTGCAAAGCAGGGACCGTTTGAAACATTTAGATATGACAGCGGCAGGTCCAACACAGATATCCAAGCATCAACGAGGTTCAAGTTCAGTAACTTGATCCTCACCTGTCACGTAGACTTTAAGGAAGCAGATGCGGCATTAAGATCACATTTGAGGGCGCACTTGCATGATTAAAAGGATAAGGGAAGACCTTCAGCAAAACAAAACTGTTTTTGTGTCTGGAGACGGTACGGTCTCCTTGGGAAAGTAAGGTAGTTTTCAAGCAGGTGTGAGGACCCGTGGAGCTTACCATGGATTCGTAGCAGCCTCAGCCCGTAAGATTGTGTACCTGTCTTTAGCATCCCTCAGCGGTCTCTAATGGGGATGGGAAAGCAGGAGCGGGAGAGGTGGTCGTGGGTATGTGGTTGGCACCATGGGTGTGGCAGCAGGGGGAGATTCTGGGCGACAGGAAGGCCTAGCCCTGCAGTGCAGTGGGGGCAGGGAGCCAGCTGTTGGCAGAAGCAGTGGACAAAGAGGGGTGAGCACGTCCTGAGAGTCACTAGCAGGCTCTTCCGGTCTGTGCCGGACCAGGTTAGAGAAGTAAACTCAATTAGATAACAAAGGGAGATTCTGATGGGAGAACTTGCCAGAGGAGATTAGCCTCCTATGTTGGTCGCCATGACCGAGGCACGGCCAGGAACACCTGTGCCTGGTGAAGAGCCGTGAGGTCAGCTTGTCTGATAAGCCATCCCCATGGATCCTCGGGATGGTGAGAGAAGATGACGGTAGAAAGGAAAGTTTGGGGCCCTGAAGACACTGGGGTATTGAGCTGTGTATTAGAGGACAATAGTAGACAATGACAGTCACGTTTTCTTGTCTTCGGCCCGTCTTCCTACCCATGTAGAGGACATGTATATGCTGTGAGCCTTGAATGTCTACATACAAAATGGAAACGTGTTAAAGAGGGCTAAGTCTGCTCCAAGGAGAAGTGACTTAGGAGAATTTCCATTGAATTGCTTCTCAGGAGGCACAAGGGACGGGGCCTCCAAGGCCCAAGAGGGTCAAATGCAGGCTTTTAATTATTTTGTACTCTCAGCGGAATTTTCTTCATCGAGAATAAAATGCCATGCCAATATGAGAGTTATTAAAAATCATTTCACGGAAAATATTACCTGCATTAAAAGGAATTAAACCCACAGTTCATTGTATTATGTTTGGTTAAGAGTGTAGCAGTAATTTATTTTTCAGGGTTTTCAACCGTGAGCTTTTATGACCTACAGATTAAGTGTGTGTCAAATGATCATGTGGCTTTTTTTAAAAGTGAAGAATTATATGGCAGTTTAAAACGTTATTGTATTACTTTGTTAGAGATTTTATGAACATTGATTTTAATGTCCTGTTCTCTTCCTTGGATTTCCCACTAAGCACACATAAGAAATTCAGATCTAGAACAGGATGGAGGGACATTTGAGAAATATTTATTTGTGAAGATCGGTTGTTGCTCTGGATACATAAGTGAGGTGGGGACCTCTGGTGGCCCAGCACATTTTTCCATCTTAAGGAATAACTGGATACCAAGTGGACAGCTAGCCATAGAATTCCCGTTGGAGAGGGCTTTCGAGAACATCGAGTCGAACTTCCTCACTTGACAAGAGAGGGAACTGAGTCCCATCAGAGCTAAAGGACTTTTCCAGGGCCTCACGACAGAACCAAGGCAGCAAGCAGGCTGAACAGCGAGCATGTCACGGTCCCCCTGGAGAGGATGTTAGTGACGGTCAGTGTCACAGAGCACGCTGTCCTAGGATCCCTGTCTGGTTTATCCACCCTGTACCAGTTGCAGACACGCTGCCCTCTGCGTCGTCACCCCCACCCTCCGTGGTGTTCCCTTCTCTCACAGGCTGATTCCAGTACCTTCCTGGGTTTCTCCCTGCTCTTGGCCGTTTCCTCTTTGGTTTCTCCATTCCCTACCCCCGAATTTTCTGTTCAAAAGCTTGGACCTGGTCACAAAACTCTCTGGCTCAAATGTCATCTCTGAATCACCCTTGCCCAAAGGCTCCTTAACGTGATTAACAGGATCTGAAAACAGGTCGACACGAGTCCCAAAGTGGTGTTATTTATACAGATTTTTCTTCTTCTTTCAAGTCGTGGTCGTGCCACTGGTGTGTGGCATTGGCTATACTGTTTGTCCCCTTCGAGCTACATTCTTCAACTGTCAAGTGCGAGCGGTAGGACTGACCTCAAGCAGTTGTGGAGAGTTAATCTTCTAAAGCCCCTAATATACAGCACCCAGCACACAGCACGTGCTCAGTGGACGTAACTCTTCTTGGCGGACTGGACTCGCCTGTCATACCTTCTACACCCCACCCCTGCCCCCGCATTGAGAGCTCCTTGACGGCAGGGACTTTGTGATCCTGTCATCTGGGTTTAGTGCAGTGCCTGGCATACAGTATTACAGCAATATTTATTGAATGAAAATGGGCCCTGAGGTCTTGAGTCAGTCTTTTAATATGAACCCCAATCCTGTGACTAAAATCGAGAGGACTGGTAGACTGAAAATAAGGCACTTACAGCCCTAGCGTGGTGCCTGGTTCCTAGTCATAATTCAGTGAACGGTAGCTATTGGTGAGATCATGTTTATCCTTAAAAAGCCAAGATCAAGTATTAGTTCTTCTGTAAAGCTTCTTTGGCTGCCTTTCCCTGCCCCCTGGCCAAATTAATCATTTCCAATCCCTTGCTCTCATACTCCAGGAAGGATGGATGAGTGGGGAAAACAAGGGTTTTAGAATCTGATAGAATTTGGGCTGAGTCCTGGTCATGTGACCTGTATAACTTGAAGTTACGTTAATGAAGCTTTAAGCCCTGTCGTTGAAGGTAGTGATACTTAGTGCATGCTGTGTTGGTCTATCCTTTTAAAATGCGGATCTTTTTTGGAGCAGGAATAGAGTCCTGTTAATCTTGTCTGGTATACCGTAGGTGCTCAAAAAATATGCAGTCACTTAACTATAGCACCAAAATCTCGCTAAATGTTAGAAAACTATAAATAAAACAAGGACAGTACTAATGAGACATCACAGAGTATCAAGTAGAGAAAAAAATTAATTTAAAATGATAAAACATGATGTTCGGCAAAAGCTAGAAAGCCTATGCTAAGGGTTAAAAGAGAGCAGAAGAAATGCAAAGTGTGACATTTGAACAAATGATAAAAATATGGCTGACACAGGCATGGATAGAGAAGATAAATTATAAGAAACGCATTACTTCTGATACTAACATTTTCACACAAAGGGCTGGAAGTGGTAGGAAGTGCAGCTTGGAGAGTAAGGTCTCAAAACCTATATATAGCTTTACAACTTCCAGAATATTCCAGGCACTGGCTTCTTTCATCCTTATCACACTGAGGCAGGTGGGTGATCATAGCCCTCTTGTTAGAGTCCAGGTGACAGTGAAGAAAACTTCAGGGACCTACTAGTTAAAACACAGAAAGACGCAGGGCTTGGCTACAGATCTGCTGGCTCCATGCCGTGCTCTTCCCAGGGTAACATGTAACCCATGTGCCAAGAAAGTGGGGGATTTAATGTAGTGATAGACAGCTTATAAATTAATTTATGTAGCATTTTTAAAAATTTGTTTAATGTTCATTTATTTTTGAAAGAGATAAAGTGTGAGCAGAGGAAGGGCAGAGAGAGAGAGAGGGAGACACAGAATCTGAAGCAGGTTCCAGGCTCTGAGCTAGCTGTCAGCACAGAGCCCTACGTGGGGCTTGAACTCACAAACCATGAGATCATGATCTGAGCCGAAGTCAGACGCTTAACCAGCTGAGCCACCCAGGGGCCCCTGATTTATGTAAGTGTGTTTGTCTTGCAGTTTATGCCTGTTCAAGTACCAAGTGATGAAGAAAAAAACGATCCCATCCTTTATGCCTCTAGAGTCCGGACTTTAATGGCAGAGTAAGTTTCTATATATGACCATAATCAATAAATAGTTTTTAAATGATTGGTAAATATATAGTTTTTACATAGTTTTAGGATTTGGGTTGTTTGTTTGTTTGTTTTAATTCTGAGGGCCTCATTTCTTAACTCATTCCTGGTTACATATTTTAAATGTGCCCAGGAACGTGGTAAAACAGGCTATAAATATTTTCCCCAGATGCAGCCCCAAACTAATGGACACGTGTCGTTGCCAGAAGAGGAACAGGGAGAATTCAATAGCCAGGAGAGACCAGCCAGTGACTTCCACCAGGCAGATTCTCCTAGGCTGGCCTGTGGCTGTCGGACAAAGCCTTGTGACAGTCTGAGCCCTGCGTGAGCTGCCTTCTAGGGCCCAGCCTCCGCAGAGCTGCCAAGGCTGGGTGGTTCACAAAGGCATTCATAATTATAGCAATAAAAAGGAGGAAGTTTGCAAGGGAACGCAATGGAGGCACAGAAAAGGGGGAAAGTCACCCTCATTAAGGAATGGCTATAAATGTAGGATTTATAAATCACAAAACAGGAGGCAAGTATTGTCCTGCACTTAAGGGAGTGTTAACTGTCCATTACTTTGATTAGATAAATCTCCTGCTGTCCTGAAATGAAAGAATGTGCATTATACCTGCCACCACCCAAGCAGCCCTAGCAGCTTTCAGGTGCACACCCTCATGCTAGGCACCCCCTCTCCTGCCATTCCAGTAGCGGGGTTGATGCTCATAGACCAGCGAGATTTATTCCTGGTAAAACTTCAAATGAGAACCCTGAGTGTAGCTTCATGACTGAATTTGGTCTTATAAGCAAGATTCTATTTTTATTATGTATATGTTATACATAATACATATACGTATATTAATATTCTGCAGCAGAATAAATTTATTTTCAAAACAATAAATTTTGAAATGTTCAAAAAAATTTTATCATGTGTGAAATTTTCCCAGTTTCTAGAGGAGTTACAAAATTTGCTTGTACTTTTTCTTCCCTTTCTCCTTATGTTTTCCTATGAGATTTTGTCCAAAAGTTTGGAACTAAGATAAATTTTAGAACGGAGGCAATGTATACCAGATATTTTGACTTCCCCAAAATGTGCCTAAAAACAGAGCAGGGATTTGATTAGGCAGCCGTTTGGGGGTTTGTTTGTTTGTTTGTTTCTGAATTTGAAGGTGTGGAGGTCTAAGGGCCTTGGATAAAGAGTAGGAAAGACCTCTATTAGCTGCACAACTATGGACAGACCAGGCCCTCAAGGGCTTCTTTTCCTCCTGGGTAAAGTTGGAGTTAGAATACTTGTCTCTCCTCTCTCGTGGAATTGGTTTTCCTGAGACCCACCTGGCAAAGTGTATGACAAAAGCACTTGAAAGTGGTAAAGACATAACATAGTGGTAGTACCGCTACTCTTAGTAAATACTTACCAAGTACTGTGCTGTTTACTCAGGGTCCCTGACATAACCTCACAGCACTTCTAGGAGGCAAGCGAGGGACCTGAGACTCAGGGAGGGGAAGTTGTTTGCCCAGGATCATAGCAGGTAGTGAGGGTCTGGTCTGGGACTCAAATCCCTACTTCCTGTTATCCAAACCCCAAAACTCTTAATGGGTATGCTCTCTGTTGAGCATTATAAATTACGCATTCCCAAAATCTTTAAAATGTTTATTTTCATGCTTACATATTCTTATACCAGAATGTTTATTAATCAGAACAGCCTCGTTGTCTGTCAATAGGAAAAAATATTTTACTCATATCACATTCATTGAAAATGTCATGTTCTTCACAGTGATTCAGCAAAACCAAATACAGGTGAAGACCTAACTTCATGATTCTCACTGAATATTTGTGAATAAAAGTTTTGTAAAGAGGAATCTTCAGGAAATTATGTTATGTTCTGCACAGGCTTTCTTCTTGGTACTCGGTGTTTCTTCAAGTCCTCGTTAATATATTATTTTTCAGGTCTAGTTCATTATTAGATCTCTGAGCAGGAGGGAGCTAGCAGGGGCCATGTGCTCCCTCCAGGATGGTGGATGTTTAGGTTTGGAAGAAATCGTGAGCTTATTGTTAGTTCCCTTTAGCATTTTCAGAAGACTACATAGCAAGAGGTGATCTCCAGTTTTGAGAGACGGAACAATGCAGATGGCTAGTGATTTGGAGAGAATGTTTGCTTACACTGTGTACAGATAAAGGTGTCTTCTCCAGTGTAGGGTCACTATTCCCATGTACAGATGACAAAAGCGAGGCTTAGGGTAAGAGCTGAAAGGTCCACGGTTGGTACGAGACTCCGCCGGAATGGAACCTAAGTCTTCCTCCTTTCCCTGAGACCGAAGTCAGCTTTTGTCACGGTTAAAACACAAAACAAAATGACCAGCCGGCCGAAGCATACAGACATAAGGGGATTCACTCGGCGGAAGGAAGTCTGTGCAGGAGAGAAGTGCGTCTCTTTGGCAGTAATGAGCCAAAGCTACTGATTTAAAAAGTAGTGACCACTTTCCTGTTCACTGTTGTGTGTTGACCAGCTCAGGCTTAATGGAAAAATCATTACCTTTTTTTTTTTTTTAATTGAATTTGTTTGCTTTCACGTGCCATTTAGAGCTTTGGGGATTCCAGTAACAGACCACACCTACGAAGACTGCAGATTAATGATTTCAGCAGGACAGTTGACACTGCCCATGGAAGCCGGGTTGGTGGAATTTACCAAAATTAGCCGGAAATTGAAGTAAGTGTACCTTTAAATTGCTACACTTTTGTAAAGGTGTCCCAAAGGGATTGGGAGCCCCCATGCCTATTTTCCCTGGTTTCATTAATGCTCGGCTGTAGAACCTCCATGGTGTTTATTAAGGAAGCCCAGGGTGTGGATTTATCTCCCACTTAGCTCATCTAGCTGTGTTTTTTTCGAGAAGGGTTAACGCAGAGACATGTGTCTTGGTCACAGGAGGAGACTGAGATACTAGATATAGAACAGCACAGATCCGCCTCTCCACTCAGAAGGGTCTCAGAGCAATTAGCCTGTCTCACTGCCTTCTTGCGAGAAGGACGGCCTAATTGGATGGGACTGGCATGTGGTGGTCAGACCTTCTCATGTGAAAAATGAATTGGCCTGTAGAGAAGCAATTCCGACTACTACTGAATTTTAAGTACTTACCCCTCAATCTCCTTTTTCTTCTCAGTACATACTTTTTTTTTTTTTAAGGCCAAAACACCCCTTTGTGCTTTTAGGAACAACCCATTTGAACCATCTGCCATGAAAGGTGTAACCCCGGATTCCCCACTTACTATCATTCACTCTGTTTTCAGCCCTATTAGGGATTTGGAGAATGTATTGTTTCCCTTGGTCTTGGCATCCTCCCTAGGAAGAAACTGCAGAAACAGTTATTGTGTTAAAGACCAATATTAACTTATTTTTTTAATGTTTTTTTTAAACATTTATTTATTTTTGAGAGAAACACAGAGTGCAGGGGGTTGGGGGGGGGTGCAGAGAGAGAAGGAGAGACAGAATCTGAAGCAGGCTCCAGGCTCTGAGCTGTCAGCACAGAGGCCAATGCGGGGCTTGAACCCATGAACCTCGAGATCATGACCTGAGACAAAGTCAGGTGCTTAACCGACTGAGCCACCCAGGGGCCCCTAAAGGTCAGTATTTAAAGATAATATTTCCATAGCTGATATAGCAAGTATTATTTATATCTTCTAGATAGCAAACACATTTTGATGTTATATTTATAATATTTGTTTAGATATTTGAAAAGTTTAGATAGTTACTGAAATTGGATACAGAAGAAAGCAGTTATGTGTTTAATAGTACAGATGTGCTGGAAGCTACAGAACATTTTCTGGTGTTTCAGTGTTTTGATAACTAATATTAGAGGAAGTGTGTCCTATCTAATGAACCTCCGTGTCACAACATTTTGTGAAATGTGAGCTCTTTATCAGCCTGGAAGCTCCTTTGAAATTAAGAATGGTATTTTTTTTTTAACAACTCAATAAGTACTATTGACTTAATCGGCAATATTTAGATTAAAATATGATTTCTTATTTTCTTTTCAGGAGTCATTTCTTATTCTGTCACATTGCTCTTCTTCTCAGTTACTTTTCTTTCACCGAGATATTTGGGGAAGTTATAGTCTTACTAATATCCTTAAAAAAAAGTCAGAAGTCTGGGGGCACCTGCGTGGCTCAGTTAGTTAAGCCTCTGACTTTGACTCAGATCATGATCTCATGGTTTGTAGGTTTGAGCCCCACGTCGGGCTCTGTGCTGACAACACAGAGCCTGGAGCCTGCTTCTGGTTCTGTGTCTCCCCCTCTGTTTGCTCCTCCCCCCACTTGCTTTTTGTCTTTCATAAATAAATAAATAAACATTAAAAAAACCTCAGAAGACTCTATACATCCAAAATACCCATTTTAGGGGCACCTGGGTAGCTCAGTCGATTAAGCTTCCGACTTCGGCTCAGGTCGTGATCTCACAGCTCGCGGGTTCAAGCCCCGCGTCAGGCTCTGTGCTGACAGCTCAGAGCCTGAAGCCTGCTTCGGATTCTGTGTCTCCCTTTCTCTCTGACCCTCCCCTGCGCATGCTGTCTCTCTCTTTCCCAGAAATAAATTAGAAAACATGAAAATTTTTTTTAAAAAACCCAAATACCCATTTTATCCTCATTTTCAAATGTACCACGTACAGTATTTTCCCCTCAGACAAACAAACAAAGCAATGTTCATAAAAGGTCCATGTGGATCGTAAGGGGCTGACAGCACGTGACTATGATTGTTCGTTCGCTTAGGTTAGATTGGGATAGTGTCCGTAAGCAACTGGATGAGTACGCAGCCATCGCTGGCTCTTCAAAAGGAGGAAGAATCGGGATTGAAGAATTTGCGGAGTATTTAAAGCTGCCCGTGTCAGACGTCTTGAGACAGCTCTTCGCACTCTTTGACAGGGTATGTTAAACCGCGGTCTTTACCCTGCTAACACCCTTACTCCCCCCGTCCCCACAGGGCCTGAGTCAGTGCGGCATTCGAAGAACTTGGCAGGTCGCTGTTAGAGGAAGCAAGGCCGAGCCCACGGTGTAATTTCATGATTCTGTATGTCCCCTTTAATGAGCAGCACTAGTCGCAATGTAATGACGTGCGGGGGTCTGCGCACGTGTGTTGGACTGGCTGTGAGAGGACCTGCTTATTTTATATACCAACTTGGAAATAAAAACTGTGACCATAAAAACCATGTCCATAATACAGATATTGCAAAGGCTTCTGTAACCGGCAGGAACTTAAATATTTCGATCAAAGTCCATACATCGATGACAGGGGTGGTACTGTTCTATCCTGAAGGTTTTGGACTTGCCCCCAAATGTGTGACGACCAAGTAGATTTTATTTTCAAATAACGTTTTATGACAAAGGCTTCAATTAAAGCTTGGCTGTTAGCCATTGTGTTGGGGTATGGTTGTCCGCTTATGAATATGTCAGTACACGCAGTTTAGTAACTGAATTGTCAGAAAGTCTCCTTAAGAAAAATGTATCAAGGTTACAAGTTCTCTATTTTTAATGTGTTTTTTTAACATACAAAATCGACAGTTAAGTCTACTCTCTTGGTTGCAGTTTTATGAGGGTTAATACAGGCATGTAACTACCACTCCATTCGAGATACATCGCAGGTGCAAAAAGTATCCCCTGTAGCTATTCTTTTACAGTCAGATCCTTGCCTTGCCCTTAACCCCCAGCAGTCCCTCCAGCCGTATAGCTTTGCCCTTTCGAGATGCCATATAGATGGAATCGGAGGGCATATATCCTCTGGAGTCCGCCTTCTTTCACTTGGCGTAATGCGTCTGAAATCGAGCCGTGCTGTGTGTATCAGTCGTTTGTTCCCTTTTCTTGCTGCGTGGTGTCCCGCTGTAAGGACATAGCATTCTTGGTGTATCCATTTCCCAACCAAGAGTGTTTGGTTACTTTCCAATCTGGGGCAATTATGACTACAGACTGTGAATATTACTGTATAGATTTTTGTGTCAATGTAGGCTTTCATTTCACCTGGGTACGTACCTAGGACTGTGCTCGCGTTATTTCCTCATCTGAGAGCAACTTTATTTTGCAGTGATTCCTGAATATATTTTTGTTGTGAATAGAATTGAGTTGCTGGTTCTTCCCTTTGAACAATTTAATGATGATGTCATCTTGCCTTTGGTCTCCCATGACTCGGCCGCTTTACTCCTCATTCTTTTGAACCCTCCTGCTATGGTACCTTGTCCAGAGGTAGTTGCCTTTTCTACTTTGATTAGAGTTTCTTTTATTTTCCTTTTTTTTTTAATGTTTATTTATTGCTGAGAGAGAGAGAGAGAGAGAGAGACAGAGTGTGAGTGGGGGAGGGGCAGAGAGAGAGGGAGACCCAGAGTCCGAGGCAGGCTCCAGGCTCTGAGCTGTCAGCACAGAGCCCAAGGCGGGGCTCGAACTCACCACTGGTGAGATCATGACCTGAGCTGAAGTTGGATGCTCAACTGACTGAGCTGCCCAGGCACCCCTTGATTGGAGTTTCTAGTTGTACTTGGAAGGAAAGGGAGGCTCAGCCGGGCTTATTCCCTCCTGTCTGGCACGGGAAGTCCCAGGTCTCTATTGACTGCTGGGAAAAGATACTTCACGAGGAATTTACAACTTGATGACACAAGCCAGGACACGGCTTCTTTTTCCCTTTACCCGGAGCACACTAATGTTCCTAGTGAGCTATTCTGTGATCTCAAAGATACACTGTTCTTTAACATGACGCGCTTAAGCACCCTTCCCTGGGTAGTGCCCAGTGCCCTTTCCTCAGCTTGCTTGCGGCATGCAGGTAATCTCTCCCCGTCCGTGACACTGTAGTTGTACTACTAGAAAGCTTCATGACTATTTAGGAGGAAGGAGAAGTAAATCGTCAGCTCCACCCATGCAAGTTGGGAAAACAGAAGAACTTCTTGCTTGGACTCTTACTTGTGGGATTCATGTAGCATTCTCCTCTTTGACTCTAGATACCAGGAAAGTAATTTTAAACGGAGCTTCTCTAAATGTGAACGTGGGGACGGGAAGGACAACGGCAGGGATATACAAATAAGGACAGGAGATGGGGAGATGGGAAACACCACGAAGTAGGAACCAAGGAGGGAGTTTCGAGCACATCTTAGACCTTGTGCTCATCAGGATATTTGATCAAAATTAGAAATAACATCTGGTGAGGTTGCCCTCCCTTCAGGTGCCAAACTGTCATCACTAGCAGTTCCGGGATTGTTAGGACAGCAGATCATGAGGCTCTATCTATTGATCACTGATGGCACCTGCTGGCAGCCCCGTCGTTTCTCTGGGGCTAAGTGTTCAGTACGGGAAGACTCGGAAGTGGGGAAGGGAGCAGTAACAAGGATGAAAAGAACCCCCGGTTAGCCGCTTCACTCTGAACTGGAGGATATGGTGGGCTCCAGGCCGTTAGGAGTCTGGTGAGTCCGGGCAGCCCGCTTGGCCAGTCAACTTCCCCGTGGGCCGCTTCCACGGGCTCACACATTCCTTATAGACGTGAGTGTTTGTCACTTCTTTGCATAGTGTGCCTTGGCTTTCACTGTAGACAGTGAGATGGTCTTTCCAGCACTTTCCTTTTGATCTCCAGCACACCAGAAGGTGGACAAAACCGTCTGGGGAATCAGTGACTAGCGCACATGACCTTCCTTTCTTCTTGCTTGCTTTTCTTCCTTTTCCATCTTTGTCTGTCTTTCTTTCCTTTTTGTCTTTAACACGTCTGCACATCTGCGCCTGTGAAGATTTGCTTTGTTTTGAGAAGGCGAATTATGCAATGGTCGCCACGCCCTTGAGCCACTTCCACGCTGGGCTTGTTTTCTCAGTCTCTCTAAGTGATTTAGCTGGGGAATGTTCCATGGGAAAGACAAGAAGTTCAGGAACGCCATAGTTTGTTTCCCTCAGAGTAGTTTATCTTACTAAACTGAATGCTTCATGGGGGGGAGGGTAGGAGGGAGGAAGGGTGGGAACGAGAAAGGGTGGGGTGTTCTTGTGGCTCTTCCAGCAACTGTAAATGTTCGCAGCGCAGACAGCTGCCAGAAGCTTCCCTCAGTCTCTCCCCAAACCCAATGCAGTTGTGTTGGTATTTGGGGTTCGGTAAAAAGACCTATCTCCCCACATTCCCTTATTTTTCCATGTGCATTCTTGACTAGTCTATAAAAACTAAGTAATTTTTTTTCTTTTAATTTAAATTCAAGTTAACATACAGTGTAGTATTGGTGTCAGGAGTAGAACCCAGTGATTCATCACTTACATACGACACCCGGTGCTCATCCCAACAATGTCCTCCTCAGTGCCCATCACCCACTTAGCCCATCCCCCCACCCACCTCCCTTCCAGCAACCCCCAGTTTGTTCTCTGTATGTAAGAGTCTCCTATGGTTTGCCTCCCTCTCCGTTTTTATCTTATTTTTCCTTCCCTTCTCCTACTGTGTGTTTCTTAAATTGTTGTGTTTCTTAAATTCCACATATGAGTGAAATCATACGATATCTGTCTTTCTCCGCCTGACTTATTTCGCTTAGCTTAGTATACTCTGGTTCCATCCACGTTATTGCAAATCGCAAGATTTTATTCTTTTTGATTGCCAAGTAGTATTCCATTGCATATATATGCCACATTTTCCTTATCCATTTTTGTCAGTCGATGGACATTTGGGCTCTTTCCATACTTTGGCTATTTTTGGTAGCACCGCTATAAACATAATGGTTTTGTCTCCGTTTTGTCCCTAAAAACTACACTGTTGGTTCAGCCCCCTCTGACACTGGCAGACCCCTTCAGACTCCCAGGAATGCATGTGACAGCAGGTAAGGCCCCACAGAAACATGGCATTCGTGATCCAAGGTGTGCCGGAGTTCACTAGTTTAGAGTCATTTCCTCCCGAGAGGTCTGATCTCCTTGAAAAAGAGAAAAGACCTTCTTCATCTTTTTCATCTTTCTGTTGAATTTAGCTTCTTTATTTTCACGAAGGCACACTGAACTCTGCCTCCGATGAGCCAGTGTCCAGATGACTCGAAGGCTGAGACGATGGTGGTGTCTCGACATTTTTTGTATCCATAATTCTGTTTTAAATACTAGATTCTTTTGCCAGCACTCTTGAAGGGATTGAAGTAGACTTAATGGGATTCAGGAACAACACTGGCTAAACCGGCTATCATTAGAATGCAGTCGTTTTCACAGTTATAACGAGATTGCAGAATGGCCATTACAGCACGATTGTCTATTTCGTATTCCTTCAGCCCCCGGGTACTGAGCAGGGCTGTGTTCGGCCGCCTCGCCGGCAGTCTCTGATGTACCTGTGAGACAGAGTCCTCAAATATGTCACGACACAGCTCATCCACGTTGCTAGCCCACAGTGCACCATGCCCTCTGCCTTTTACCTCTTACTAGTAGCAAGTCCTGTGTCTCCTCACTGCATCTTCTGATGCACTCAGCTTAGAGTTTCATCGGCTTGCATCGCTCTAGTGGTATGTAAGCTCACTGGTGGCAAAGACTGTATTTCCCATATGGGAAACCCCCATATGGGGCTTTTCCCATAAGGAGCCAGGTAGTAAATACTTTTTACTTTCCGAGACATATGGTCCCAAACTTTCAGGGCAACATGTACAACTGAACAGAAAAGTTCATCTTATCCTACTCAGAAAGAGTTCTCTATTTATTGCCAGTCACTCAAGCTGCACAAGCGCCTGGTCCTGACTCCCAGCGTGAGTGGAAAATCTGCATGCCACAGCACCCCACCTTCTCTAACAGGAAGGGGCAAGCCAAGTGCTTGTTGTCGTTGGCACTCATGATTTAACACTGGCGCTCATACCAAGAACTGGGCAGACAGGAAAGAACTCGGCATTCATTCCACATAATGTGAAACAGGAATAAAAGATCTACCCAAGTTTACAATAGCCAACAATGCTGGAGTGT